GGAAGGGAGCAAAACTGTCTCACAAAGATCACAACCACAAAACAAGTGACTCGCAAGGAAATAGCATCAAGAAATAACCATTGAAGCATTGCACATACATGCTGTAGTTGTTTTTGTCTTATCTTTGAGAAAGTTAAAGACATTTTGAAGTTTTCAAAACTAGGATAGAAAACTTTAAACAGAAAAACAGGGAAACGTACTGAAACTTGGATTCAATAAAAGGAGCCGGATTCCCTGTTTTTTTTTTTTTAAATTAACTGAAATCAACTAAATGATTTGGATTCAACGAACACATAACTGAACAAACTTTGATTCAACAAAGTCGCTAGCTGGGCGAACAGCCCCTGCTGATTGGGGGGGGGGGGGGGGGGGGGGGGGGGGGGAGAGAGTGTTTCACGCATTTTTCTCCCACAACGACGAAGCTTATCTGCTCTATTCCAAGGGACCATTGATCACACATGATCATTAGATCCACATGCTTAGCCTAGCCTGCAAAGTAATACCTTTGTAGGCCTACAAAAAAAGGGCATACCAGTCAGCGCAAAGGAAAATGGTAGAGTAGTCTCCGTCTTAACGCACGGTGCTCGGGAGGGCTCCTACGCCAGAATAATATGCATGGAGTGTGCATTTATATGAACCTGTGCAAGGTGGGAAAGGGATGCAACCATCTGGTTTCCGTGATATTTTAGTGACCTATTGACCTCTCTTGGGTGGGGTGGGGGGGTCCTTCCTCTGATAATATGATGAAAATTGACCGTTTTAAAAAGGATTCCTCCATTACAATTATGACTACAAAAAGCGTAGAGTGAGGCGTGGAAAAAAGCAGAAATACCGACTCAATGTGCTGATGAACACTAACACGAAGGGGGAACTATTTTGATGTTTCGGATACTTGGATTTCTGTAAGGAAAAGTTGATTTAAGACTCACACTGATTTTGGAACTATCGCTTTCATTTTTCTAGTAGACTACATTTGATTTTGATTCGCCACCATGAAGGAATTCACATCAAAGAGTGACATTCAACTAGTGAAAAAAAATTGACAGTAACTTCAGTAACGTGAAGAACAAATTCCGATTCGAGTGACTGGACGAAACTGTTACGTTAAAAAAAAAGAAAGGTGATGTTAATGTGGTGTATAGTGAATCTATTGTAAAGGTTGGTATTGGTGGGAAAGTGCTTTGCAAATTTAAGATTATGTCCTAACCTTCAACACCCAGGAACCTCTGATTCACAAGTCGCATGACCACCAACACACCACGACAAAGAGATTCCTGGCCTGCTTCATCAAAGCAGAGAAATGTGACCAGTCGCCAAGACAGCTTTCTCAAATTGATGTAGATTGCATAGACAATCATCTGAAATTGGGTGACTGTTATTTAGGGAGGGAGACAACTGACATTCTTTCAACTTGCCCAGACAAACTGAAGGCAGATTTTCTCATTTTTGCAAATACAGCATACAGGTTGACAGCAAAACATTCGCTGAAGATTTTCCCACTCCGCAGCGGTTTACTTCAGTCAAAACCTTTCTGCTTTTGATCCTGCTACTCCCAACCATTCCAGGATAACAAAATGCCTTCAGCGACTGCAGGAGTTTTGATTTTTTTTATCAGTCACAAGAAGAGCAAAACAGAGTGTTGACGGAAGTCAAAGATTTCACTGTCTCCATGTTTAAAGGCAAGACAGATGTGTGGTGATCTAGTCAAAATGCCTTTCCAACTCTTCAGAAGGTGGCTCTTGCATGGTTGACTATTTTCCATGGACCCCAGGAGGAGAGGTCATTTTTATCTAATGAAAGACATCATGGCAAGAAGTATAGGGTAGCTAACATGGAGGTGTCCACATTTTCAGCTATATAAATCTTTGAAGTATGCCATCAAAGCCAGAGATATTACGGTGGGGGGGGGGGGGGGGGGGGAGAGTGATTCGTCACGTAGAAAAATAACAAAGCAGTATTTACTCTCTGTTGACCACTGTCAAACTCCTGTCTGTAAAACATTCATTGGAATTTCTAAACAGGACGGCTCCCAACAAAATTACAGTGGAATCCTGTTATAACGAGAGGGAGGGGACCGGAGCAAAATGTCCGTTATAGCAGGATTCTCGCTATAAGGGATCCAGTAATAAATTCAAGGGAAACTGTAAAGAAGGCCTAATCTATGAGTTTGGTGTTTTGTTTATTTCCTTTTGCTTTCTCCCCTGATGATGATTTTGTTTCAACATGACCTTTAGGTCTTACTTGATCAAAAATTGAATCAGGTTTCTTTTTCTTGCGCTAGATCTAGCGATGTTGACTGACAGCTTGGGGTTGGCGATCAGAAAGAAAGGGCTCTGGGCTAACTTGCCCGCTGAGTTTTCCCCCACCCCACCACACCCTGTGGTGCATTCCGTCAGTTGGCACACGTCACTCATTCGCTCCAACCATCAAATCACTGTGACCTCTCCATCCCCGCATTGGAGAAGTGAGAGGCATGGTAGGCCTTGATAATCTAAACTAGGCTTACACTGGCCTATCACACGACGCATTCTGCTTGTCTGCTCATGCCACACCCTCCCTACTCAGTCGCTCCGGCCTTCTTTGTTGACACACATGGGCTCTCCCATTCTTTGCTTCGCTAGATCACCAACAAGTTTCTCAACTGGCGAGGTTTTACATTATGTATAACTGGCCTATGCACTGTGCACAGCAGCAGCAATATTCCGCTATAACCGACCTGTGTGTTTGTCTGATAGCGCCAATAGCAGTATTTTATTTACAAAGGTAAAGAAGAGAAAAAAACGGGGTTTTAGAATAGTGTCTTTATAACAGACTTCTTGTTTTTTCCGGACTCGTTATAAGTGGACTCCACTGTACTAAATCAGGAACAATTGAACCAGAACGAAGAGGGGGTAGGCAGTCGGAGAAGGTAAAGGAAAGGGATCGGACTATCCAGGAAGCGATCTCAAATCCCATTGACCGGTTCCCTAAAGCTGAGTCCCACTTTTGCAGATCCAGCTCCTCAAGGGAGTATCTACACCCTGATCTTATGGGACTAGTCGAGATTTTGATATGGAATCACTTTTCAAAAATGAACTGGCACCACTGCCGGAATCTTTGTTCAATGACAATGGAGACATGCGCACTGCCACTACAAGAGCTGTTCTGAAGAGAACTCGGCAAGAGCCTGTCTCCGCCCGTGTGGCGCTTGATCCAAAAGTCGTGATTTTAGATGGATGTGCACTTTCATATTGTGTAAACTGGCCAGCTAAAGGGACCGTCCATGACTATGTCAATAGTTTTTGGACTCTTATATTGTCAAAAATAGACAGAAAAGACGTACATTTTGTTTTTGATAGATACCAAGATTTCAGTATTAAAAGTGCTGCTCAGCAAAGTCGCAGCATGAAAATTTGGCACAGTTCATAAACTTACGCTAAGTACACCTTTACCAGCTCAGGCCACAATACTTGCCAACACCGAGAACACAACAAAAAAAAATTTAATCAGCATACTTTGTCAAAAATTAACGTCCAGGGCTGTAGCACAACCACGTGATGAACGTCTCATTCCTTTTCACTGGACACAATGATGTTCCTCACGAAATCACATGGAAACATCACACAAAGAACAGACTTGGCAACGACACACGAGGAAGCCGACGTCATTATCGTACAGCAGGCAATGCATGCTGCTTCAGTCACCAATGCTATTAAGGTGGTCACTGACGATACGAATGTTTTTGTACTATTGGTCCATTTCTATCACAAGCTTGACTTAGGTTCCAACAAGTGCTTGATGATGACGGAAGCTACTAGTGGGGCGCGTGCATAATTGACATTGATAAAACCGTGGCAGAAAACAAAGATATTGCACCTTGTCTTCTGGCTGCACATGCGCTATCTGGATGTGATACTGTGGCTAAACCCTATGGTATAGGAAAGAAAACGGCCATCAAAGTTCTTCAAAAAGGATACAGACTGGACAAGCTAGGAGACACAAAGGCAAACTTTGAAGATGTTACCGTCCAACAGCACCAATTTCTATAACATTCGAAAAATGGCGACCATCTTGAATTGTTTAAATGCCTCAATACCCTGAAGTCAGCGCCATTCAGATATTCGATCTAGAGAATCTGAAGTTAAGGTTGGAGAAAATGAAAAAAACCACAAATATTGGGCAGACGCTTTTTTGGGGTTAGGGCTAAATTCATAATCTGGTAACGGGACTAGATCAAATGTGCGACATTCTGCCTCCAAATATAAAGCCCATGTTGAAGAGCAGAAGCAATCACAGCTGAAATTCGAAGAAAGTACGGACCTTCAGTTGAAGCAACTTCAGAAAAAGGCCCATGCAAAAACTGTAAGGGAGAAAGCTGTGAAACAAGTCCTGAAGATGCACAGGAGAGCTGCAAGAAAGTCTGCTGAGCAGGAGAGGATGAGGGAACCTCCCTGCAAATGGCAGAATAAGTAATTCTGACACCCGCCATCCTCCTCAAGCTCTAATGCTATTATCCACCACGAATTTTGCAAATATGCTGTCTTTCTCTTGCTCTTACTAGAGTGTACTTTCTTTTCATATCATCATTTTACAAGAGATTGGGAGTGTGTTTCAGTTTGGTCGTGGCACTGATGATTTCCCTCCTTTTTTACATTTTGTCATTAGCATCACTGCTTACGCAAGCTGTGTAGGTTGGAGCAAAAATTTCCCTTTGTCAAGCTTTACCTGTCAGCGTGTTTTGTGGAAGAAAGCATGCGTTTAGCGGAAGACACTGTGCATTTGCACGTCTAACATAAAGTTTAGAAAAAACCCGCCATATAACGAAAGCGTGCGTTTGAGTGGAGCCTGCCTATGTACAGCGTGTGTTAACACGGAGACTACTGTATTCCAATGTCTATACACCAACACGGTACCAAACGGTTTAGTCTGTTTATGAATTTTCTCAGCACTTGCAAAATATAAGAACCAAAGATTAGATGCATTACAGGAGAGTAACATACAAAGAAATGAAGACGGAGGGATAAGTACGATAGATGTTTATTAGGAAAGAAGGAGCAAACCACACCAAGGCACTCGCCAACCATCCACAATGTTCATCTTAAAAACAAACTAAAACACATTTAACCAGTGATTAATATATGTTATGAACCTATGAGAAAAAAGTTATACCGTGGAGTCTGCTTTAAACAAAATATGCAAGAGAGCTGGACTTTCTTCAGTTTAAACCCCAGTTATACAAAGCACAATAAATAATATCAGATTCGCCATACACAGGAACTCAATTTTATTGAACTGCATATCTATTCACTTTACATGTTCTAATTTATGGCCCAAAGTTCTTTCTATTGGAGAGATTCCTCCTCTTTGCCATAGAAAACACGCTATAACTCTTCCGAGACATTGATTTGCTTGCACTCTGCTCTTACACAACGAAAAATAAAAGAAAAAGAGACTTGGGACAAAAGACTGGTTTTAAAAGTGAAACATATTCACTCACGCTTATAATTATATTCTGAGATTGTAACTTTTTTTTTTTTATCACAAATTTGTGCATTACGATGAAACCGTTTGCAAAAATGATACAAGTTCTCCATATTTTTTTCTCTAATTTGTTACTGTTACAGTGGTGTCTGAGTCTGAGCTTAATCATCCACAGACATCCATGGGTTCTGCATATCATCATCATAAAGAGAGGTGTCTTTCGACCAAGTCGCCATACTGTCAACTATGCATTCTATTGTGACTGAAGTGTGTAGAAGCAGAAGCTTTGAAGTCAGATGCACAATGTAGTGGGTAACCTTGATACATGACTTTGGATTAAAAAATGACAATTCTGAAATAAAGTCTGCTAAAGACTAAATATCGCATCAAATCATGTTCCTCGTGATCACTTTGCCATAAATTTTGATACGCTGATTCCAAAAATGAACTCCACACAAGCTTAAATCCAGCGCAGCTGCAAATTTCAAAGGGATACTGCATTCCAGCTCAACTGTCCCAAATCGGATCAGGGTCGCCCAAGAGATATCAGGCCTTGCATGATTTCTCAATCTGGTCTCCAGTCCAATACATCATCCAACCTTTCTTACAATTTTGTAGTTGGGCCTACACATAAAGATGTATAAATGTCCAACCTTTAAAACAATTTATCGTTATGTGTATCCAAATCTTTAGCCGGGTTTCAGGTGTAGAAGAGGTCGCTCCAATAGTTTTTAAAAAAATGTTTTAATAGGAGAATTTTGTCTCCTAATTTACTTGCTGTTTTCTGATTAAGCAGACTCCATTGTAACTACCAGTATGATTAGCTTTCTAACCCAAACAATGCCCTTACAACATATACAAGCTTATAACTTATGGGCCTCACATACAACTGATACATTCAGCATCATACTGTACAACTGCCATAAAAAAACAAACAAACAAGAAACAAAAAAAAACCCCCAAACAACATTATCCTTCAAAACCATTTTACAAACACTCGTCTGCACCCCAGCAGCTAGGACAGTGACCAGACTTTACTACTGTACTTGTGTCAATTGTTTACTGATCCAACTGGAAATCCACAAAGATTGAGACAGGATAGATGCAACCTCCACTTCACCACAATCACTTCAAGGCCCAACATTAAAGCCAAACTAACAAAAATCTTGCATTGTGTATTGTTTACATTATATGGGTGACCTCAACCTTTCCTCATCAAGACTCCTCACAATAAACTACAATACCTAAATCCCTGAGACAAGGAAAACAACTTGCAAAAGGAAAACTGACACATCTCAACATCCATATATGTAAAGCACTCTGTCCTATGTCTGCATAATAATGACAATGACTCTCCAGTGCTTTCCATATTTTTACATTTAAAATCTCTACTCTACTACCAATTGCCAACCCTCATTACATAATGAACATACAGTGAGCTGATCAAAGGATTAAAATCCAAACAAAATAATGATACTATGGAGGCTATCAACTGATTAAAATTCTGACAATACTCGCAATATGACTGTGGAGCTGTCAAAATACTAAAACTTCAAACCCAAATATCATGATGTAACATTAGAGCTGGCAACTCTTAAAACCTATAGGCCTACATCATGATGCAGTTAGGATCTATAAACAAACTGAAATACACGGCACATGAAAATGTGTGTTTGAGAGGAGCATGCCCTTGTATGGCATGTGTTTAAGTGGTAACCGTATCACCAAATTGAAGAATGATGACATTTTATTGCAACTTTTATGGATAAAAAATTTAATGCAATGATAAATTCCTTTCGCACGATAAAAATTGCCATTTGAGGTGTATTATCAGTTATAAAAAAGCAGTATTACTTGACCAGTAGAGCCGAGTGTCTGCCACTTTGTGTACCTCACAATGTAGCCTGTCTCAACTGTAAGATACCAAGATAACTGCAATTAGCAGCGGTGTTTACAGCTGTCCAGTATTTACCATCAGCACCCTTAGCTTCTTGCTGTTGCTGAGCGTAAAGGCAAAATAACTAGATCTAACACAGGCAATAAAAAAAAATAGCTTAAGATGTTGAAATTAATCTAGATCCAGAGAGAGATTTCCCCTGCTTTATTTGGCAAGGAGTCGAATACACATTAAACCTGAAGATGAAGCCCTAGCTTAATCAAAGCACGTCGAATTGTCCCCACAGGGGAAATATCACCCTAAAGTAAACAAAGAGCAACAAAAAAAAACAACAAAAAAAGCCAACAAAAACAATCAAGCATCCACAGATTTACAAGTTTTTCAAATACTATTTATGAAGTGATAATGTCAAGTCTTTTCATTCTTTGGAAAGGCTGGTGATAGAGAAACTAGACAAACATACATTGCACTTCCTTAATGAACTACGTCTGAGATTTCTTTCCTAATCTGCTAAACACACCAGAAACTTTAGCTGCCGATGTTGTGGACACTGGTTCCTTTTTTTTCTTTGTGCTGATTGTCTGTGTGGACGATACGACGGGTGAGGATGATTGCTCTTCCACTTTGGCCCCTAGCCGATCTTGAATACTCACTGTGAAACAGAAAAAGAGGTCAGAGATTACTTCATTTCAGAAGATAGGCCTATTGATGTACACTTTCTTTTTAAGTTTAGTATGTGGTTTTTACGGCGCTCGCAACTGCATAAGGTCATAGGAGCGCGCGAAACAAGTTGGTTTTTTCTCAATAGCTCATTGCTCGGCCGGATTCTGGTCAATATTACTAATTAAAATTTTTAAAACACAAAAAATCGAGTGTAAATAGATTTAAAATTTAAAACAACTTTCTAAATAACACTTTAAAATTTCGAACAATCTTAATTTATAACTTCCCATAAAGGCCAATGGCCTTCATAAAATCTAAAATTCTGTTGACAACAAATCTTGTAATTTTTTGCATTTAAAGTATTTCCTTTGGGTCTCTCCGAAGTCTAGACATTCGGTTAAAATGTGTCTATAGGTAAAATCTGTGTCGCATCCGACACAGAACGGCTTCTCATCTCCCTGAAGGAGGTATTTGTGTGTTAAGGGCGTGTGTCCGATGCGTAATTGAGTAAAAATGACTTCGTCTCTTCCTGAGAGGCCCGAAGGATTTCGCGGTCCCAGTTTGGGTTTAATATTGTGAAGTTTGTTATTTGTTTGTTTTTTCCAATGGCTCTCCCACAGACTGGAGGAGTAGTATTCGACTTTATTTTTAAAGTCAGTCTGTGGGAGAGTGTTTGTCGTTGATCCCAACAGAAGGGATGAGGATTTCTTCGCCAGGTCATCTACCTGCCCGTTTCCTCGGATGCCCACATGGCTAGGTATCCATGCGAACACGATACTTTTCCCTGTTTCAGTCAAGGTGTGTATTTTCTGTTGTAGCATAACTATTTTTGGGTGTATGAGTGTGTAGTTTGTGAGTGAGGTGATGCAAGACAGACAGTCAGAAAGGATAAGGAAAGATTTGTTAGGAGAATTTTCTATGGAGTCCAGTGCCATGTCAATGGCAGTGGCCTCCGCAGAGAAAATGGAGGCTTCAGGATGGAATCTCCTCTGGTGTGTACTGTTGGAAGATAGGTTTGCGGCGCCCACATCACTGTCTTTTTTGGGGTCATCTGTGAAGGTAAGCTCCGCACTGGGGTATTTTTCTATAAGTTTTTTTATATTCTGCTAATGTTTTGGTGTTTGTGCTTGCTTTGTCGTGTGTGGTCAGATGCAAGTCTACTTTTGCCTTGGTGAGGTGCCACGGAGGGAGGTCGTGGAAAAGAAATTGTTGTATGTCTTGTTTGGAAAATTGTATGTTTTTTAAGGTCCTCAAGGACTCTGAGGGCGAAGGGTTTGATGGGTTCTTCGTTGTTTTGGAATTTGTTTATGGTTTCTGGGTTCGTTTTAAAAATGCAGTCGTGTGCTGGGTGCTCTGGTGTTGAGGAGAGATATGTGTAGCAATAACAATTATACGCAATATCTGGTTTTTGCCTAACATCATGTTCCAAACCATTCTAATCTGCCTAAACATAGCTGCCACTCAGGAATTTCAAAAAAGGAGGAAATTCATGCGAAGGCGGATGCGCGCTCTCCGAAGGCTGGAGTAAAACCAGTGAGAGCCAGAGGCAATATATACTGGAAAATCTAGCCTATGGTTTTGGAAGGGAAAACTGTCATATTTGTTGACCATAGGCAACTGAATTAAAATGTATTTGAAAAAACAACAACAACAACATAACAAAAAACAAACAAAAAAAACCCAACAAAGGCACTAAGTTAAGTAGACTAACAAGCATTTGAGTCAATTTGACACAGTTTAGACTTGGTGACTAAAAATCCAGTGTTTGTTGCAAGCTGGTGTCTTATAAAAAGATTTCTTTCAACTTAAAACTTGTACATCGATGTAGAGTGCGCGCAGTATTGGATCAAGGAGGCAACACCTCTGCCGCTGTACTGAGCACTCCTGTACAACTGCAGTCCCGTTTGCACTTAACTTAGTAGTCCCTCTGTAGAGTGTAGATCTAACATGAATTAAAATTATAGCCTAGGCTATCTAATCTAGATCTAGAATCTAGATATCTAAATATGTGTAAATCTAGATTATATCTAGAGATAGATTATCTAGATCTAGATTCAGTGTTCACTTCATCAACAGCCACAATATAGATCAAGAATCTAGCCGTCATGTAAACAAACGGGACCGCAATTGTACAGGAGTGCCGCGGGCCGCGATTTCTTTATCGCACCAAACGCAAAGTGCAGCAAGCGGTTTGTTCAATTTTCTCATTAACTTTTCAAGTTCAAGTCGCACCGGCAGCTTTTTTCTCATTTCAGCTCCTTTTATTTTTGCATTCAGCATCAATTTCTCTCGAATTTCCGCCGTTTTCATTGACAACTCGGCGCGCTAACGTCCCGATGCCCAATCGACACTTTGTTGCTCTACAATAAACAAAGTGAAACTAACGCTAGGCCTAGAAGAACGGAAGGAGAAAGCTACGGGCGGACAAGCTGCGTTTTCGCCTCTCTCCCGGTTCGGGAAAGTGGCAGCTATGCTAAAATGAAACCAGAATAGCACATAATTATATTATATTCTTTTATTCCTAGAATCATTCAATCATTTCCGCTAAAAAGAATCAGGATATGTGGATGCAGGGCTTGAAATACACCGCAGCAATTTGCCTTGGTGCTTTTGCAATTTGCCGTAATGCCCTTAAAATGAAAGGGTCAACCACGGCAATTCTTGTAGTGCCCTTGTTTTTTTGTTTTAAAAAAATGTGCGAAAACCATGAAAATAAATCACTATTTGTCCTGTGCTGTCACTTGTGGGAAAAAAAAGAAAAGAAAGTTATACGAAGCGTCTTGTCTGGTTCGCCACCGTGGCAGGTCAGTGACCCTGAGCGTTGGTATCACAACTTAATCACAAGATACGGCATCGTGCAAGCACTGGTTGTTGGGGTCACCAAAATTCATTCAAAGTCTGAACACCGCAAAGTATAGGACTCCGGAATGGGGGGGATTATTGATTTTTTAAATTTTTAAGAAGATACACACGTGGGAGGGCAGAGGGTATGGAGAAATCCTGTCAGACTTGTCTGAAATCTCATCAAAGCTTCAGCCTGACACTGCTCAGCTTGATAATTGTGTCCATTTTGTCATGGCTAGTGCAAATACACTCACAGCAAGAATAACCAAACCTCAGCAGCAGTGTCTGAAAAAAGCTCTGGGTGAAAAAGAAGGCTGAAGACGTGAGAGATGTGGCAAGAGAAGTGTCTCACAACTAGACGTCCTTATTAACCCTCATCCTGCGGGAGCCGGGTTTATGTAGCCCGATAAGCCTATTTCGGCACCTCGCCTGCGTTCTGGTCCCGAGTCAGTGTAGCTCCTGGCTCAGCGCACGGGCAGCGCGCATCCTCTTACGTGTCATTCGGGTCCCGAGTCGGATCCCCATTCACGCAGGTCAAGTGTGTGTGCGTCAGTCTGCTTGAGTTTGTGTGCGTTTGTGGCCTTCTTCTAGAACCACCTGCGTTGGTTCATAATCGAGGCATACGTCTCATTCAAAACATGCCAAGTTGATAGCTCTAGATGTTCGTCCAATGAAATTATAGAAGAAATTGACCCACTTACACATGAGGAGCTCGAAAGGATAGTCAGGAAACAAGACTTCCATTTTTCTATACAAAATATTTCAAATGAGCTTGATTTTGTATGAAATGATATCTGATAAAAGATGAGCTTGTTTAATAGTTTTGAATACCCTTGTGCAGGTACAAAGAACAATTTGAGTGTAAAACATTCGGAAATTGACCTAAATTATCCCTTTTCGAACCTCAGGTCATTCATAACAACAAGAGCGTCCAGAAAGGTTATTCAAATGGGCGTAACTACTCGTAATGTCTTATCAGCTTGTGAGAGGGGGTTATTCATGTGTTTGTAACACTTTATAAATAGAATACTATGAAGGATAGAGCGTTATTTTCATCATCAGTTAACACACTCCCGCGGTATTCATGGCGAAAACACACGTTTCCCGGCGCGCGCGCTGTACACCAACAGTACACACTGTGTGACCCCGGCGGCCTGCCCGGCGAGTCCGACGTAATCGGTTGCTGATAAGATACGCATCTGGGCACAGACGCAGGATAAGAGTTAAAACAGCACTTTTCTCTGAAATCATCTTCTCTGGTGATACTTTTTAAAATAACTTTTTTTTCACACAAGGGTCAAACAGTAAGCCAGTCTTTTTCTATATTGTGTGTGCCAACATATTTTCAATATTTTGAACTAGTGATAAGTCATAATATGACATGCTGATTGTTTAGGTTTTTAAAAAATATAACATACATGTAGGCCTACTTTAAAACATGTATTTTCAAAACTTGTTTTCACTTATCATCATAGTCAGAACCTCAGACTGTTTAACAGCAATTTTTAGTCATTCATTCTTTTTTTTTTTTCCGTACAAGTTCAAAAGTTGTTTTCACTCCTCATTTTTTCTTTTTCATACAAGTTCAAAATTTGTTTTCATTTACCATGATTTGTTTTTATTTTATCACTACACTGCCTGTAAACCACTGTGTTTGAATCTCAAATGATATGTCTTACTAATTGGTCATATTATTTCCTGTTTTCTATCGTACCCTACCGGCAATAGTCATATTCATTCTTCTTAATCCAATCAATAAGAGCTAGATAATCTGGCCATAAAGGCATTTAAAAGTCAGATGCAATCTTGATCATTATTTGATTTAAAACTGATTTTTTGTGATTTTGTTTTGATGTGATTTTACTGTGATTTACTTAGTTTTCATTCAATACTTAACATTTTTTTCCGATAACTCTATACTTTTGTAGAGAAGCAAGAATAAACATTATTGTTATTTTTATATAAACGTAGTGATGCACCATCCAACTTTAATCAACAAAATGATCACCTATAATTTTTGCCTTGGTGCACTAGCAAATTGCCTCCGTGCCCTCTGATTTTTAGGCCCCACAGAGGCAATTTTTGCCTGCCCTCCTAAACACTTAATTCAAGCCCTGTGGATGTGTAAGCCAACTTCATGTTATCTAGAATCACCATTAGTTAGCAACAAGATCTCATTTAAGCAAGCAGTTCATCCCAAACGGGTACCAAGAGAAAACAAGAAAGAATGTGTGAACAAAGAACACAACTCTTTTTATATCACTATTGTCACTTAAGTTTTGCCTCCACTTTCCAAAAACGGATCCATCCTAAAACAATACAAGGCCGACAAATATAGCACACATAGACACATCCGCATAAAATAATACCCATGCATAAAAACACATTTCTAACACAAAAAAACAACAAACAAACAAGAAACCCAACTCTCTTCAAGGCCTAGCAGCACATGCCAGGAGAAAACTAAAATCCATGACAAGACCTTGAACAGTTCAAACATCGTATAGATTCCCACTCTCTAATTTTTCATCTTCTCTTGCACTTCTTCACATTACTTTTGTTTCTTTTACATTATCACTTTCTCCAAATGTGAACATTTTTCACAGATTCTTACACAATGTTGAAAACAAAGAAGGCAGTTTGCCCCCACAGTAAAATGAAACAACAATCCTGTCAAAATAAGTTCACATAGTTCACTACGCATGGACAACTTACCTTTTCCTTGCTTGGTCCCAGAAGCAGCCTTTAGGGAGGCCAGTTTACCCTCTATATCGCTGGATGTAGCTGCTTCATGTTTGGCTCCTAATCTGTCTCTCAGAGACAAGGACTCTTTTTTAGCATGATCTGACAAAACACCTTCTGTAGTGGTAGATATTTCAGGCCGTTGTATGTCTGAGGAAAGACGATAATGAGAACTAGATAGTAATGAAATGTCAGAAATATAATATGTTTAAAAAAACATGCAATTCTAAAACAATGATTAGTTACCGATGTCATATTTTTTCGGATGTTTAGGAGATTTTTTTAAAACACTGAAGAAATAATAAGACAGAGGAAGGCCCTAACTGTTAGTCCTTGTAACAATCACAATCATCAAGGAGCACCGGATCTGACAAACACTGGCCATCAGGGTTCTGAAAGTTCCCGGTTTACCCCTGCCTCTTTCCCCTTCTATTTTCCAGTGAGAGCAAGGTGTTCAAGACCTTTATGTCTATTCAAGTGTCTCAGAAAGTGGATCTGTCTTTCCCTTACTGTATTCTTTAGTGAACAGTCCACTCGAGCTTCTTTCAGCACTACCTTGATCCTTCTATTTTGTGTTTGTTACTCTCTTGTAACACCTCTAATCTTCAGCACTTATATGTGCCGTAAAACTCTTACTAAAACAAGCACTACCACATTTGATATCATTTCCTTCCTGACATTTTAAACAATCTCCTACCACCCACTGCACAATGCCAATCGAACTCAGTCAAACTGAGTCGGGGCCAGCCAGATTTTCTTCGGGGGGTGAAAAAATCTACCGCTTTGGCAAAATTTGAACAAATTCTCCAAAATCAAACATGGCAGTTTCTGGACAATTTTATTAAATTGTAACAAAATTGCTTTTGGCCCTCCATTAGGGAAAATCCTGACCGCCCACCCCGATCCTATCAGTAAATCAAATGGGCAATAGGCACTGAGTATAAGAAACCATATTCCTATTCATCATCATCATTGCCTTTCTCACCCTGGATCAGGATATAAGCCACGAACAAACACTTTCCACATTTCCCTATCCTGAGCTAGTCGCTTGATGTCACTCCACGTCTTCCCACTTTTCTGAACATCCATTTCTGTGACTCCTCTCCAGGTTCCGCGTGGTCTTCCCCTTGATCTTTTACCCTGTGGGTTGGAATCTAACACTTTCCTTGTTATGCAGCTGCTTGACTTCCTTTTGCTTTCAGGTAGGCTTGGGTCGGGCTCGCAAAATTAACGCCCGCGAGTAACGAACTACCCGCTGGCAATACCCGCAAACGAGCGGACGGGTAACGAACCGTCCGTTTGTAAAGAGTAGTTCGCTACTCACTACACATCGGACAGAGACAACAGTTTGTTTAGCGAGCGAGCGGACGGGCGGACCGAGAGATTCCATGTATTCGAGCGGGCGGGCGGACGGGAACGACTCCTTCCATTGCCTACAACTTTTAAACCCCCGCCCCCCCCCCCTAAAAAAATAATTTAAAAATCACCCTCCTGCCTCACATTGTAGCTTGGCGTTCATGACGGAAATTTCCGCCCCCCCCCCTCCCCCGGCCTTTGAGATAATTGGAACGTACACAGTGTCACCGTGTGCCCCACGCACGAGGTGAAAGATTACACACATAGTACGTCACCAGCCTCTCTCACTCCCTGTGGCACCGCTAGTGGTTTGAAACATCAGGCCTAATTAACAAACAATAGACGACGGGTCTAATCTCGCGTCGAGTATCTCGTCTGCTAGAGTTTGTCCGTTCGCCCGCCTGCCCAGTGAATAAAATTGTGGAGCGGACCCAAAAAACGAACTGACTTCAGGCTTGAGGCCCGCAGTCCGCTCACTGAGAGAGTCAAATTGTGGAGCGGACCCAAAAAACGAACTGTCTTGAGGTTCGCAGTTCGCTCTCATGGCCGTCCGTTACCCGTTCGCTCTGACTGAGTCCGCGAGTAATGAACCCGTCCGTCCGCTAGCCCCAACCCTACTTTCCGGATATTTTCAGTATTTTTCGCAATTGTCTAGCATTCAAAGCTGTACAGACAGGTTGACCACAAATAGCCTTTCATAGAATTTGGTTGTCACCGAGATGTTTCTGTTTTTCAGGATTGGACTCATTTTTATTGAAACTGTCTTTAGGTATCACAATTTTTCATTTGATTTCTTTGGTGCATGGAATATCAAATGTAACATTTTATCTGAGATATTTTAGCTGTTGAACTTGTTTGGTCCTTTCCCCTTTGCTTTTGAGATATTAATAGACCTGCATGTGAGCCTCAACCAGATTGTCTGAAAATTTTGCGCAACCCCCCCCCCAAAAAAAAGCCTTAGTGGGTGTCATAAGGAAGGACATCCGAGTAACGAGCGACCACCCCAACAAACACAATAAAGAAGAGACCTAACCCTAACCCTACCCCAAAAAGAACCTGCATCGGGCCTCATCTTAAAGGGATTCGCATGTAAAAAGGCCAAAACAAGTACTAAATGAAAAAAAAAAATTTAATTAAAAAACCACACTCCAAAACAAACAAGGAGCATATAGATTCTAGATCTAGATCTAGATCTAAATTTTATCTATATGGCTTACATCTACATTGCTATAGGGTTTGATACAATAACACAATAGAATTGGAATATGAATCCTCCATATAGACTATAGATCTAGATCTAGATCTACTAGACTAGTAATCTAAAAAATAAATCTAGATCTAGATCTAGATATAGAAAAATCTAGATCTAGATCCTGAAGAACAAGTGAATAGGAATAGATTCTAGGCTTTGAACTAGAAATCCGCATCCGATTCCGAACAGAGGGACTCAGCTGAGTCTAGATTCTAGATCTAGATCAGGCTAGATCTAGATCTAGAATCTAGACTATAGATCTAAATATAATAATAATAATAAATAATTCACGCACCTGATGAAATGCTTATTTTTACCAATATTAATATTACAGCACAACCTATGATAGGGTTTGACACAATAGAATTGGATTATGAATCCTCCATTGAGGTCTATAATGATCTCTATATAAATCTAGATCTAGATTCTATTAGAACAAGAGAGTCGGACTTGAATGAACCCACACGATCTGAACAATTGAATTAGTCAACAAACGAAATTGAAAATGGCCGCTCGAGCACGAAACTGAAAGTAGATAATTTAAGTTGTCGTCCTTTTTCGTATTCGCATTTCTACTTAGGTTCCGACAATTATGTCGGAAACGCCGACGTCGGCAGTCGGCGGTGCGCGCGTCGACGGTCGGCACGAAAACGAAAGTGCCGACGAAGCCGACCGGAGAAAAAGGGGTCGCTGGCAGTCGGCCAAGCCTCGCACTACGCACATTGACTGATACTAGGCGGGCCTAGCGATAGCATCGGCCGGTTCGCGGGTCGGGTCGCGATTGTCGGATTTCAGACGATTGTCGGCAAACATGCAGGTCTATATTAAAGAAGATTTACTGCTATTTTAGATATTACCATGTATTCTCTTTTCTTTACATAAGAACTTCCACCAGCTGCAGCTGAAAAGTAAGGAAAATTCTGCAGGAAATTGAAATTTAGTGCTTTTAGAGGTTTGAAAATGGCATTTGGGAGCCTGTTTAGAGAGATTGCCTACAGCCCATAACATTTATTTTTTCACCAACATTTTGTGTTGTTTGATTTCTTCACCAACGTATCTTTCCATTGCTGGCAATATTTAAAAGCAGGTTCCCTTTTCATTGCTACTATAATTCAATTAATTTGTCGTCGCACCATTGATAGCAGGCAAACCTGGGAATAATGATGATGTACCTTCAAAATACAGTTGCGCAGCATATACCCAAATTTTTTGTCAATGTTCACGTCTGACTGTCGTCTGTCACAACCTCGGAACACCACTTCGAATTATTTTTTATTTTACCTACAACTGGATCGGGCCATTCGCCAGAAACTGAAAACAAACACGTTTGTTTTTGAGTCGACCGTGTCGCGCTGATCAGCCGATCCCATCCGTAGTGGGCACCCCCGTATCAGCATATTTCTTTCATCGAGGCCCTTATTGCATTCACGTGCTGTAGAATCTTTGCATTGATAATTTCTTTAGATTTAGACAAATTAGCATATTAAGTTTCTTTCTGACAGTTATTTTCTGTCTAAGATCACAAGTCAATTTACTTGATCAACACGCAGATTTTCAAGCAGCGGCAACAATCCGAAGATAGACAGAAGGAATGAGTGAAAGATAGAAAGGAGGAATTGGCACAAAAGGTTCGCCAGATTTTGATCCATCTGCCGGTAAAAAATGTACTGCCGACCAACCTGCAATGAATGCAAGGGACATAGCGGAATAATGGCCGATTGCAGGTAATGCGCAATCTGGCAGGTTTCTATAACTTTAACTTGTTGCAGAGAGAATTACCGTAAATATCCGTAACTTATACAAGACGATACGAAGTGCGAGTACGGAATTTCGGCAGTTCTGCGCTGTCGCGGTTTTTTTAAGGAGGGAGTTGATCACGGCTGTTAGGAAGCGTGCCCCACTGACAGTGTTGTTCTTTTCATTTTTAGGATAATTAAACTCGCAAAATACGCCGATCTGTGACTTTGCCGTCTTTTTATTTTGCCCGTTTGGAACAAGAGGGAACTTCTACACTCACTGAGAAAGATGCAAAATTGTAGGAAATAACGATAGATATATAAAGCGTTCCTAAAATGGCTCATATTTTAACATTGCCCTTGGGGGGTGTATATTTTAAAATCAAAATTTCAATCAAACAAAACTGAAACAATATTTCAAATTCACATAAAATGCATCAGAAAGGGTCAAATATCAAAACTCACTTTGCTGTTCTTTTGGGAAGGCCACTGTCTTGGAGTGGTGAAGGGTTGATTACACTATCACCTTTGTTCTCTTTGTCGGAGGCACGTTTGACAAAAGTTCGGGGTTTAACATCAGGTGCTGAGATTGCATGATAACTTTTAGCTGTTGTTCGGTATTACGTATCCCAGCTCCTCTTCTCTCCAGCTTTGCCACAGAAGCATGGATAAGTTCACCACCCTGTTCCCAATGTAAAGCTAGACCAAACCCATATGTTTGTATCCACGGGATGCAGTGGTTTTCGAGAATGTGGTGTTTGGGAAGTACCTTTTCACTAAAGTGTCTCCTGTAGAATGACATGTAAGTTTTGATGCATGTTGTCAAAGTGTGGTAGTCTGTCTTTTGACACTGGTTGGCCGTGTGAGATGTGGATGTGAACGTCCCTAAATGCGTTGTTTAACTGATTGAATTTTTCTCTGAGAGTGTAAGCGGTGTCAATTATGTTTTGGTTGTGGGTGTTTTCTAATGTTTCTTTTACAATGAATGCCGTGAGGTCTTTATAAACGCGACTCAAAATGTATTTGTGGCAGTGATTCCCAATGAAAGAGCGGCTATTAAGTATTATATGCCTGCTGTGTGATGTTGTGTGAGTCAAGTATGGCATCTAAATGGGAACAGATAGGGCCAGTCCTAGGGCTAAGGGGTTCGTGCTCTAACTCAGACAACTCGTCTTCTTTCCCTGTCAGTTGTTTTTGAAAGTTAGCTCTCTCCTCTTCAGAGTCAGAAAGCACTACGCAACCTTCTAATTGCCTAATCTCCCCATTTAGTTCCTCCCCACGACTCCAGTTTTTTTTCTTCTCCATATCATGTGCGTAGTGACGACGAAAGCCCTTTAAAGTCTTCCTCTGATTGCTCACTTAGCTGTATGTCTATTGTGTGTGTCGCTGTCTCCAGCAAAGGATGGTGGTTCAGAACTATACCCAAAAGGATATGAAGGTGTGGTGGGGCTACTTTAACGGGTTCAATGTTTATTAGTGGGAGGTGTAAACTATTGGGAAAACTAGCGACATTTTTCTTTAGGCCATGGCCATATTTTTTAAAACGATTGTGATCGCGTTTCAGTTTCCAAAGAACGAGGCAGGAAATATTGTTGTTGACATGGGGTTTATGCTAACACCAAAGGCCAAGAGAATGTCCGACGCAAACTTAGAACACTGCAGGGGTCGCCTTTTCTGTGCCTTCTGCTTGACTGACAGTGTTCTGCCACCACAAGTTCTGCAAAGTTCGTGCAGCTTTTGAAAATGTGAATCCTCTGTATGTTTCTCCATTTCTTAACTGGGCTAAAATATTCCAAAAATTCGATAAGAAAAATGTTGAAAAAATAACGCGATAAATAAGAACAGAAATGAAAGATCACAATCCGAGTGAATCACGGGGGAGGGGGTACCTTTTAAAAAAAATCATATAAAATCACACATTCATTTCCCGGAAATAGAACTTGCTCACACAGTTCAAGTATTGCTGTCTAAAGTGAATAACAGAAATCTGAGTGAAAATTTGAGTTTGTCTTTTGAGATAATAAACTCCAAAATGGGATTTAATTCAAAGTGCATCTTTAGTTGAACAAAACGCTTGTCCTGCAAAGCGCTTAAATGCTATAACACCAGTGAGATTTCCGGAGCGAAAGTGGGATCGTCTTGTTAGTCTTAAGACTATCTTTAAAATGAGATTTTAAACAAGCTTCTAGGTTTATCAGATCGGGAGAAATAACGAGGGAAAGTGATACGAAAATTACCAGAATCGAGTTACGCAGGCACGGCGGCGGACATCGCTATCGTCACGGTTGTTAAGCACGAGGGTGGCCGACTGACACTGATTTATTACCTTCGCGCGGGAGGTCAGACCGGGGTTCGGCCACCAGCTAAAGTACCACTTTCAGTGGGGTTTTAACAGCCGTGTGATAATGAAGGAGGAACAAGTACGGAACAGGCAGAAAGTATGGATTTCCGTAAAAATACGGAAGAGTGGAAGCACTGTTACATTTTAAAATAACCCCATACGTTTGCTTTCCATCACAAAAGTATCTGGAAGCAATTGAAGGCCCTTCTCTGAATATCTTCAATTTATGCTGTGTCATCAGCATATGTGATGTTATTAATATTTTCTCTATTCACCCTGAAACCTGGGCCCTCTTCTGTATTTCTGAGAATGTTTTAATGTAGATATACACGCTGAAGACACCTGAGGATTAAACAGCCTTGCTATCTCTTCTTGTAATCTGTTTATATTTCCTGTACACTCCCTCAGTTCTTACAACATCGTTTTGGCCTAGAAAAAATTTCTAAGAATTATTAACTCATTTCTGTCTAGATCAACTAAAAGCGACTGCTGTGCAAAATCTCCTGTACCCCTGGATCTACCTGTATGGTCCAATAGCTACATGTTCACCACCTGTTGTGGTAGGGGTTTTCCTGTGACGAGCATTTTGGGTACATTTGTCAAGAAAAAAGCCAAAATAGTGTTTATAGATATCTCTGGTCTTAAACTTTCCTTTCCTTCATTCTTTCCATCAATCATCATCAGAGTTTCTCTTCACGTAAGAGAGCACAGGCCACCAACAAGAGCTCTATGCACCTCTGTTCTGAGCAATAGTCTCCACCTCTGTCCAAATGTATCCCATATTCTTCAGATCAGAATGTATGTCTCACGCTTTTATTAGCCTTCCTTTCTTCAATCAGTACTCACTGCAAAATTTTTGTAAAACGACTCATTAAGCTATCCTTACAATAGTAAGTGATAATCGACACCAAACATTTTTTTCAAAAATCCATAGACAGTCAACAACCATGAAAAAAGGTACATTTTACTCACTTGAAGACTTTTTCTCATCTGAAACGATGTTCTTGATCTCTTTCCTTATTTTAAAAGATGTCAGGGTGACTTTTGGGGACCGAGTAGAGCGAGTGACTGCTACTTTGATGTTGGCTTTTTTCGCTGGAGAGGGGCCAGAGTTCTTAAGCACTCCTGCATAGGGTAAACCGTCACTCTGTGAGGATGGCGGGCTGTCAAGAGAGGTTGAGGATGCAGCGCGTTTCACTGCCGCTTTCCCACCGAGCCGATTGAAGACAGACTGAAAAATATAGAAAAAACATGCAGCAATACTTGTGACATTACATTTATCAGAGCTTCCATTAGCTAATGTCATTTTTCGAGGATTTTCGGGTCCAGGGCAGCGCCCTGATAGGGAGTAGAAGGGGGACGCTCCCTTATGTTTTATATTTTTTTTGTTTCAGGGCATCCTAAATATGCCCTTTTTAGCTATTCAAGCCTAAACTTAACAAGAAAACAAGTGAGAAAAACACATACTTTGCATACACAATTTTCTGCTTGTGTTAATAATCCATATAAATCCAAGGCCATGTTTTCTCTCTTCTACCAGTACTGTACATCCATAATAGCAGTATAACAGCTAGATCTATAGAACTTGACAGTTAATGTTCAACTCATTTCTGCTTGTGTTGGTTTGCACCATAATGTGTAGAATCCATAAATCCAAGTCCAAGCTGTTCTTGTACTGTACACCCATAAATAGTGTAGTGTAACAGCTAGATGTAGATCTAAATAACTTGACAGCTTATGTTCAACTAAAATCCACAACAGTATTTATAAAATAAACAAGTCTGGCAAAAAAATCAAGCTCTCTTTAAGGTTTTCTTTTCTTGGCAGGCTCAGGATCTATTGAACCACATTTCTTCCTCTTTTTACAGTGCTGGTGCTCTGCTTGTTCTTTAGAAGTGAAAGTAAAAGACACTATCCACACTTGCAAATAAAAGAGCACTTCCGGTATGGGTTGGCTATTGTTGACTATTAGGGACTAGATCTAGTAATTCCGTAAAATTTTAATTTCCCATTTGAAAAAAAAAATTTTAATATTTTTTTAAGCACGAATTTCCACGGAAATTTTTCCATTTGCAGAAATAAATTTTGATAAAAGTGTCTTTATCCACCACTTAAAGTAATATACTGTATCTTAAAAACCGTATTAATCTCAATGCACAATATACGCCTGTCTATATAATTTGATGTAAAATTACCCATCGCATGACAATCTACTAGCTGAAAGTATTTTTACCCTTCAAAAAAAAAATCAGGGGGGGGACACCAATAAGGTTTGCAAGGTTAGGTGAAACAATACTAGACCAGTGGCCTACCTGAGGGGAAGTGGACGCTGACGTTGTAGTGAGAGTGATATCATCTGCTCCATCAGACCCAAGTCTGTCAAACACTGACACTTTCCTCTTTGACTTAGGTGGGTCTGAAAAGAAAGAAAAAACCCAAAAACAAAGCATTTTCCACTTTACCACTGTTCACAACTTCAAGACCTCTAAAACTTGCAGGAACTTGGGAGAGTGAGGAGTTGTTCCAGTTCACATTGAAGTTACACAGGTTATAAATTTAACTACATCTTAACATAGAAGAGCTGCATCTACTTGTTCTAAAAATGTTACAATGCGTGCCTTTAAATAGGTATTCAAAAGCAGCTGATGAGCGACAAAACAGGTGGATGATGCTGTATTTTACACAAATGTATCAAGTTAAAAAGTTTCAATTCACTGCTTAGCACACAATGTTTAATCTCAATATCACGCTACAAATAATCTCATTCCCTTCAGCAGAAGACAAGCTTTTCAATGATATATCAGACTTATTTATAAATTGAGGATGAATTAGTTAAAAAATAAAAACGTAGAAAAAATGAAAGTCAGGAATTTTCATTGAAAAAGTACACCTTTTCAGCAAATGCAGTCTCAAAATGGAAAGAAATGCCATTTCTATACTGAATCTGAGAAAACTAGGCCAATCGGGAATACCAACACGTCTTGCCATGTGCAAAATGTATGCAATACTTCATTGTTAGCTGGCACTATTTAGTAGGCTCAGAGAAGGCTGACACGCATCAGAGTTAGGCTTATTTATACACGCTGTGCTAACTAGCCTTTTTTCTTTTAACTGCCAAATGTGCACCCAAGCCCACTTTCTTAAAACTTGGAACTCTAAAACTTGAAAGGCTGTGGGGAAAAAAAATAAAGCTAATTTTCATTCATGTTTTCTTAGAATGTCACATAAGCACAAGTGTTGTGGGGGAGGAACATCAGCACAGATGTAGATGTGTCACCCTGTCAATCCCTGCATCTCACAAAACAATGAAAGGCTAGCCTAGATATAACTACAAAATGAATTGTGTGCTGGTCTGTGGCACCAAACCTTCCCATATGCTAGGCTCTAGACTGCAACAAAACTTATTGCTCATATTGTTAAAACGAACACTTAAGGTTAAAGAAAATTGAAGGTCATGCCCAATGACTTTGTTACATCCGAGTTTCACTGTCCTGTAGTTGCACATAAAATTTTCTAAAGGTACACCCCCACTTACACCTGTGAATCAAAATTATACACACTGCATATCCAAAAAGGCTTACCAGGTGGAGGAACTTTTGGCACGGGTATCTGGCTCATTGGGGCTGCTTCTGGATGCTTGCTTGTGAAGTGATTCACCATACGACTTGCAGCTGAATAAGTGAACATTTTAAATTGAATAATTTTTTTCTATTTTCCCAAACTAAAATAATTAAATATAATGATTAAAAAAATCGCATACAAATGTTACTATCCCTCATGAAGGGACCATTTCAGAAATTTTGACATTTTACAAGATAAAAAAGGAAAAAGATTTTGTTATGATGTTACAAATTGGGCAGCATGTGTGAGTGTGTTTGAGAGGGAAGGGAGAGGGAGGGAGGGAGGGAGGGAGGGAAGGAGATGGGGAGAGAGAGAGAGGAGGGAGGGAGGGAGAGAGAGAAAGAGAGAGAGAGAGAGAGAGAGAGAGAGACAGAGGGAGTTAGAGTTTGAGTGAATACGACAGTGCGTGATGTGCCTGTTGACATACAGAAGAATATGAACATTTTTGTATTTAAAGCTGGTGAAAGTGCATTAAGGCTTTATAAATTTCTTCCAAGAGAGGATCTATAAAGGTCCGATTTTGATCTTATTTTTAAAGTCTATTCAATACAAATAAGTTTTACAAAATGCATACCAGTTGATCTACGAGGTGTTAAGACCGGGGATGAAGACAGTGAAGAGGAAGTAGTCAAAGAAGTTGATCTCAAAATCTTATCTTTAGCTTCCTGGAAAAGACAAATCAAATGCACCAAGTAAATCCATATGGTCAAGTGACTGACCATTATCATTCATTCAGCCCAAGAGACTTAAAATAATCAGAAACCAATTCTTTAACACAAAAACTCATTCTTCATTTTTAAAAGTACATGACCCTTCAATAGTTTTCATCCTGTAATAACTCACATCATGAAAGCAGAGAGTTTTAAAACACATGACCCTTCAATAGTTTTCATCTTGTAATAACTGACATCCTGAAAGCAGAGAGAAGTTTTTCATTATTATGTATATTAAAGATTGTTTTGAGTCAGTGGCAGAGGGCATTAGGCATTCAGGTGATGAGATCAGAGGCAGAGACTACTCAACCTAGTGTTCATTTAAATTTTAAATTAACGCCCCTATCAACACTATTAGGTTATTTAAGGGGCGGGACCTCCCAGTTTAACGTCGCGTCTCTGATAGGACCGAGCCAAGTCGGAAGTTCGTGTAAAGTGCCTTTCCCAAGGACACAACGTCGGACCGAGCTGAGGCTCGAACCCCCGAACCCGCAATCTCATGATTACGAGTCAGGTAGCTAAAACAGTTAGAAATCAAACATTCATCTAACTGAAATAAAAAGGCCTACCTAGTACTACTAAATTATCACATGAAAAAAGTAATATTTTACTGTTAAAGTAATAAATAACATTTATATTACAGTATTTGTGCGGTACCTGGTACCCACAAAGTGACAATCTGGACACAGAACAAAACAAAAAAATGTTCAGCAGAGTGATTGTACCTGATTGAAGACACTCTTGCAATGCTTGAGGATAGCAATAATGTCACCGAGTCTCGACACTCCCATGTCTGTGAGATATTCTTTACTTATATCCAATAACATTTCACGAGTGATGCGATTATCCGTGAACAGAATTGCATAATGAGTAGCATCTCCTGCAGGAATGCCTGCACTGGTGAAAAAGTTTATCCAATATGAAGTTTCTGTAGAGAAAAAAATTATTTCATAAAGTTTCACAACACGCTTAACTAGAATGAAATGAAACTAACAAATATGTGCAAGATTTCAGCACATTTTAAATACACCTCACATAACTTTGGATTGGAACTCACAGGGCAAGAGATCAAGGGGAAGACCTCGTGGAACCTGGAGAAGAATCACAGAAATCGATGTACAGAAAAGTGGAAAGACAAGGAATAACATCAAGAGGCTAGCCCAGGATAGAGAAAGGTGGAAGGTGTTTGTCTGTGGCCTCTACCCTGGTGCAGGGTGAGAAAGGCAATGATGATCACATAACTTCAGTACGTTTATACAGTGGAGACCACTTAAAACGAGTCCTGAAATAATGAGAAGTCTGTTAGCCCCGTTTTTTCCTTCTTTATCTTTGTAAATAAAATTCTGCTATAGCGCAACCAGACAAATACGCAAGTCGGTTATAGCGGAATATTGCTACTGCTTGGAACCCGGAGAATAATTACAAAAATTGATGTACAGAAAAGTGGGAAGACATGGAATAACATCAACAGGCTAGCCTAAAATAGAGAAAGGTGGAAAGTGTTTGTCCGTGGCCTATACCCTGGGGCAGGGTGAGAAAGGCAATGATGAATGCTACTGCTGTTACAGCGCAAAAGCCAATTATACATATTATGTAAAACCTGTTACAAACTCATGAATAACCCCCTCTCATAAGCTGATAAGACATTACGAGTAGTTACGCCCATTGGAATAACCTTTTTAGATGCTCTTGTTGCTACGAATGATCTGGGATTCGAAAGGGAGTAATCTAGGTCAATTTCTGAATGTTTTGCCCTCAAATTGTTCTTTTTACCTGCACAATGGTATTCAAAACTCAAATAAGCTTATTTTTATCAGGAAATATCACTTTATGTAAAATCAAGTTCACTTGAAAGATTTTGTATAGAAAAATGGAAGTCTTGTTTCCTGGCTATCCTTTGGAGCACCTCATATCTAAGCACTAAGTGGGTCAATTTGTTCTTATTTCATTGGATGAACATCTGGAGCTACCAACTTGGCGTGTTTTGAATGAAACGTATGCCTTGGCTACGAACCAACTCAGGCGGTTCTAGAAGTAGGACACAAATGCACATTAACTCAAACAGACTGACCCACACTCACTTGAGCTGCGGGAATACGCGACCCTGTCGGCATGCGGAAGATGCTCAGAGCGTGTCAGGTCCGGACGGACATGGGACCAGAACGAAGGTGAGGTGCCGAAGTAGGCTTATCGAGGAATATAAACCCGGCTCCCGCAGGACCAGGGATAAAGTTAAAGCTAGTAGAAAAGTGAAAGGGAACCCCTTGATTAAGTAATTTTACAGTGTTTAGTCAAGGGGTTGCCTTTTACTTTTTGGTATTATTTTACTCATGGACCCGTCTTAAGATTAGTATTCTAAAGCACATTTCTTGTTCATTTTTATCTGCTTCACACAAATTTTGATTTCATTCCACTAAAAATTATTAGTTTATGAGATTTTATGGTTTTATACGAACTATGTAATATTTGACTTAATTTAAACAACATGGGGGTTTTCAAGGAGGCATTCCCCCCCCCCCCCCCCCCCCCCCGGACCTAAAAAGAATCTAGGAGGTTTCAGGGGGAGGGGGGGCATGCCTCCACTTGCATTTCACCATGATAAGAAGTTTTGGCAATTAAGATTGATACTTACTTGAAAACAATTGATTTGCAAGGGTTTTAGTGGCCAATGATGTGTGTTCTGCAGCAAAAATTATGGTAGTTTAAACCTCAAAACAGTGCATGCCATCATCTGCCCCTGTGTGCGGGTCTAAAAGTAAAAATACCCACCTTTCTACTAGCTTTAGTTCTAATCAGACCAAGGCGAGCCCAAGGCCTACAGTTACACACATGAAATATTACTGCTTATTTTGCAGCCTAGCCTACTGAAAAAGGAAGGAGTTCCACAGAGGGCCGGCTGACCAACAACACACAAAAGAGGGGATATTTTGAGCGGGGATGTATACCCTAACCCTAAGGCCACCTTTATTCTCACCCCGGGTGAGAATGACACATGTCTCGCTATTCTCAACCCCCCCGTGACAACAGCTCCCAACCCGGTGTGGGCATGAGGCGAGGACTCCCCCCTGACCTCTCGCAGGCCAATAAAATCACCTAGGCCCCTGGTGGCTTACCGCATGTAGTTGGGAACAAATAATAATAATGTAAAAACGATTTTCGCCTCTCCGGTAAAAAAAAAAGGCTCACTACCGACCGGAAACCAGAAGGACCATTCGTTCTTTACACACTTAACGATGGCAGGCCTCTCACTCTCTGCCTGCACACATTAAATTATGGTTCAAGTAGGAACAGAGAGCGTGTACAAACGTAACGAGACACAAGCACGAGACAATAAATGCTCTTGCACGACGGTAGAAGGGTTGTAAATTATTCAGACCAAATGGGCGAGGGTGTTAAATCGTATTAACTAGTTTAATAATTAAACAATCCAAGCTCTTTTCTTTCTTTACTTTCATTTTTTTTCTTTCATTCTTTCTCTTTCCTTTTTTTACTTGCCTCCTCTTTCCCCTTCTTCTTGAACATTTCGAGTTAGGAGGCAAAAAACATGGGTCTCAACTCAGAATTCTAAAAAACTAGGAACTTTACGGGTGATCGCCACAGAAGCCCATTTTTGCGAAACACCCATTATTATTATACTGTTGAACCCTAGAATGCTGAAACAAAAACCATCAATTTATCAGAGCAAGGTTATTTCATACCAATTTTAGGGTTTGGGAGATAATTTCAAGTAAGAGTCACGAACCAAATATTTACAATATTGATTACGTACAGAAAGTGGTGGCGCTGGGGTCTTGTGGGACTTATTTATATTTTCATTTCATCATATTCGCCTGTATATATATATATAAACTATATAAAGATGAATCCTGTTTTGAGCCTAGAACCAGAATTTCGACTGTCATGATTCACATCATACATATAGGCCTATATAATATTATTAAATAATAAACGAGAAAGACAAAGAATTAATGCTCAAACTCAAAGTAGAGTAGAATAGCCCAAGTAGACCTATTCAGTGTGAGAGGTGTAAGAACTGGGGGAGGGCAAGATGCAGTGATACTGAAAATCCGCGAATCTTGAACAGAAAGCTAAAGTATAGAGATCTAATTTACAGTCACCAATCCAATGAAACGCGAACACTTAGGCCTCTAAGTTCCATAACACGCTTACAAGTTATGACGGTTCCCGATTTCACACAAGGCCTGCACCAACGCACACTTTATTTTGCAGAGAGCTGTAGTAGCAATAAAAATTCTAAACATTTAAAATACAGTCGAAACTGTGTTAGACGGCCACCCATTGTAAAGGAGAAAAGCGTCCGTATAAGACAGGTGGCCATCTTAGGCAGGACTGATCAAGATTAAGAAAACAAACCATTCCTTTCTGAGGTCCCAACCGAAAGTAGCCACATTGTTGTTGTTGTTATTGTTGTTTGTTGGGATTTTTGCTTCTTTTTTTTTTCTTTTGTTGTTGTTTTTGTGCAAGGATGACAAAAAAACGAAATGTGTCAGACAAGGAGGACCGAGTAAAACAAACACATGGGTCGCCACCACTCGGAGAATGAGCGACACTTCTGTCACAAGTTCATGGTGACATCCATTGTTACTTTGTTGCAGACTTGGTTAACAGTGACCACTCATCTCACTTACGATTTTTGTATGAGTTCTGGGCGGGGCTTATGGGTTATTTTCGGGATCACACGCTCACCTCACCAGAAGCTGAAAATTTGTTACCTATTGGTCAACAGTGGGAGGGGTCTACGCAACATGATCGGTTGGAGGGACTACCTAACAACAACGACAGGTGATTGAATTATGACGGCTCGTCCACAACGCAAAGGCCCAATGCACAAAACGTAATGGAATCATTAAGGTGGCCGTCTAAGACAGGTGTTATTGTTTGGTGTGATAGGGGTTGTGTGTTAAAATATGATAGCCGCGGCCGCGTTGGAGAGGTGCCCGTTTTACACAGTTAAATTATATAGAAAAAACGCAAGGGGGGAAATGGAAAGTGGCCGTTTGTACAGGTGGCTGTCTTATAGAGGTGGCGGTCAGGGCAGGTTCGACTGTATTAGCTTCCAGTTTCAGTTTTTTTGTTCTCTGGTGTTGCATTCAGCCCCACCCCCCCTATTCCCAAGTGCGTCTTTTTAAAAAATCAATAATCTCCCCACATTCCTGAGTACTGTACTTCACAGCGCTGAGAACGCGCGCAGGTTCATTGACCGGTCACAATGGCGAGCCCGACAAGACACTTGTATAACTTTCTTTTCTTTTTTTTTGTTACCCCCACAAGTGACAGCACAGTGACAAATATTGATTTATTTTCATGGCGACACCACGTTTGTAATGCCGAACCTGCATGTTACAATAAATGTTGCACTATCAGACAATTACTGACAAATATCTGGGTGGCAACGAAAGCTAAAGTAGATCTTGATTTTCCAGTCGAGCCTTGGTGACACAATTCCGCTTGCCGCTGAAGCCGCCAGTTCGCGTGAAACGTACTCTCAGAGCCAAATTAATATCACAATTGCCACCGGCAGAAATAAGACGTTATATGATTTGGTTTTCAAATATTCGAGATCTTTTATGTATTTTCCCCCGGTCTCAGCGATTTTTTTAAAGGGGCCTGGCCTGGCAATCACCCTGCTCCCAACAACTCTTTCTGATTGGCCCGCTGTCGCGGTAGCGGAGGAAATGGCAGTAGCGGAAATTAGCTAAATAGCGGACTTTTGAGACCCATGAAAAAATGAAATTCTCCGGGCCAAACACGATCCAAAAGAGCCAAATTTCTGGGATTTGGCTCCAAACTGACAACCCTGACTGTGACTATTCGGGGAATGAGGGGAACCCCTTCTTGCATTAGGGGTGATGTGGTGGTGGTGGTGGAGGGGGGAAGTAGACCAGACTAAATATTAAGCGTCTGGATTGTTCAGTCGGGGGTGGCCGAGCTTTGTAGACAAAGTTCGGGCATATCGGCCATGTGCACAATATGTTTTAAAAAAATAATTTCAAGCTTAGCCTACCCATTTTTTATTGTTTATTTTTATTATTTCATTTATTGTGCATATAATTGTGGCGTCGGTGGCCTAGTGGTTAGGCTCTCGGACTCGCAACCGTAAGGTCGTGGGTTCGAATCCCGTCAGGGACCCGACGCTGTGTCCTTGGGAAAGGCACTTTACACGAATTTTCCTCACTTCACCCAGGTGGGAATGGGTACCCGGCTATAGACAGCGAAAGATCTTGTCAGTACGTTAGTGTTTGAGCGCTTAATCAGCTGCTTGCACTGTATGCTTCCCGGGAAGCTGAGAATGTTTCGGAGTGTTCTATGGTCTGCTGGGGTAATAATATAGTGTAAAGCGCATAGAGCCTGCTGTTGAGCGGGGATTTGCGCTATACAAATGCTATCTATTATTATTATTTTTAATTATTTTTGTGGCCAGTGAATTTGATTAAAGGGATTATTATACCAAATTTGGTGATATTGGATTGTGCTGCTTGCATCAAGGTAAGTTTATTTTATTAAGGCCAGCTCTATTTCTCTGAAAGCCCGGGAAAATAAAGAACTCTATTTCTCCAAACTGTTTTCATTCTCGAGATTAAATTGTAGATAATTTGCGAATGCAGTGGCCCGTGTGCCCATGTGTGTGTACACAATCGAAACAAAACCGGAAGTTGTTTATAAATTTTTTTTAAAAAGGGGGGTGGTAAATTCACAAAATAATGTTTTGTGGCCATTTTTAGTGCCAAAATTGTTCTCAGTACACTAAAAAAAAACCGTTCGAATTCAGAATACTGCCGAAAATAGATGTAATCTCAAATAGGTTTGGCAGGCAACTCGGTTCAGTTTATTTACTCGACTTCCGTTTTTGTATCCGATTTTGTGAATAAATGTCTATGGAATTAGGCCGGGACTTCTCCCGAAGAATGCCAACATTTCATATGGTGATCTACATGTAAAGTAAGCACAAATCAACAATGTCAATAATATGTTGAGCTAGATCTAGTACTCAATAATCACAATGACATAATATCATGATGCCAGTTGCGTTACAGGCTGTAGAACTTATATTGTCTAGATTTAGCTAGATCTAGACTTTTCGAGATCTAGATCTAGACTCTAGTCTACATCTAGATAAACAACCCGGACACCTAATATTTTTAGTCTAGTTGACACCCCCCCCCCCCCCCACTACATCACCCTTAATGCAAGAAGGGGTTCCCCTCGTTCCCGGAATATACAAAAAAATTCGTCCCAGGTCATATGACGTAGTAAAAGGCCTGTAGCATCTGCGCATGTCCATGACCTTTTGAGTATGCATAGTTCAAGTTATGGAGACGATGAAAAAATGGTAGACCTATTTTCGATTTACCAGGCTGTCGCAAAAATTCAGTGGAAACGGGAGAAAGGGAAACAAAACGTGCGAAATAGTTAGCAAATTACTTACGGATTACATGTTCATGGGTTTATAAATTAACAAGATATGTCCGGTCAAGATTGGCTTTAAAACGAGTTGGAACAACACTGTTTAGGCGGGCGGCCGACTTGTCCGGAGGGCCGAGATGCCCAGACAGTACTGTAGATCTTGACTAGATCTAGAGATCTAAATCTAATCTAGATCTAGAATCTAGATTTTAGATCTAGAATCTAGATTTCTGGATATATAAATCTACAGTCAAACCTGTGTAAAACAGCCACCCATTGCCATTGTCAAGGAGAAAAGTGGCCGTATAAGACAGGTAGCCGTCTTACTCTTAGGCAGGACTGATCAAGAATAAAGATGAAGAAAACAAACCATTCCCATCTGAGGTCCCAATCGAAAGTAGCCGCATTGTTGTTGTTGGTGGTGGTTTGTATTTTGTTTGTAGATCTAGTCTAGATAGATGTCTAGAAGTCGCATGTAGAATCTAGATAGATAGATTTCTTGATCTACACTAGATAGATCTAGACTCTATCTAGATTATAGATTAGATCTAGAGTCACGATAGATTCTACATGCGACTTCCTTTAATCTAAATACTAAATGATTGGGGAAGATTGAAGAATACCGGACCACTCATACATTATTGCGCGAGAAAGTGGGGTTGGTGGGGCGGGTGGTTGGGGTGGAGGAGGGGGGAGGGGGGGTACAGGGGGGTTTCCCCCCTGACAAAATTTTAATGAATAGATCTACCGGTCCGAGATTCTCCATTGAGAGATATTAAAAACGGGAAAATTATAAATTCCTAAGGTTGAGACATAGGCAAAGTCAGTCCGCTGGTCCGGTATTCTTCAATCTTACCAAATTATTGTTCATAGCCTAAGATTAAAACACCCCTTATTAGTTGATATTACGGTATTTTTTTACTTTCCCTCCCGTCTCACACTCAGCTACCAGTTGTCTATTTTCTACTAAACATTGATGCGCTGAACACGAATATCAACTTCATTTCCGTCGCAAATTAATAGTTTTTGAAATATTTGATTGTTTTTAACCGAGATAGACATGCTTTGGACCAATCGGGGGGTTCCAGGGGGGCCTGCCCCACTGGGGTAAAAGAAAATCTGGGGGGTTACAGGGGGGCATGCCCCCCTGTTTTTACCCATAATTTGATATTTTACAGTTAGATTTGAAATTGTCTTGAAAATAATTGCTTTGCGACAGTTTTACTCAGACTCAGTTTTAGTAGTGATTAATAATGAATAATGATGTGTGATCTGCAGCAAACAGTACAGCAGTTTGACCCCTGAAACAGTGCATCTGTGTGTGGGAGTGAAAGTAAAAATTTACCGATATTACAATAATTATGATGGCTATAGTTATGTAGAAGTCTCATTTTCGAAAAAATTGTAAAGTTTTGTAATGCCTGGATGCATTGCCATTACCTGACATCGACGCCATCTTGACCGGAACGAGAAAACAGAAAGTAACAACGCCAGGTTTTAGTGTCTGGTGTAATTAGCTTTTTTCCCTTTCATGGTGCTTGGCATTATTCTCAATAAAACGTCATTAACAGGAACTTTTTATTCAAATACATTTGACAGAAGCTTAAAATTCATGATTCTATGTATCAAAATAAAGAATACCATTTATACTATTCGTTGTCCTTTTTACAAACGAATAGTACAAAATACAAAATGGCAATCGTATACACGCGCTACCTGCCCTGGAGCAAAGATAGTACAATCTGGAGCCACCAACACACAACATAGGCTAGCCCAGTCCAGATTGTTGTTATTGAACACACCATGGTGCGTCGTGGCACGGTGCGCGTGCGCTCCTCTGCTTGTTTCCTTACTCTAGAAAGACTAGGCGTAGATTACCGCTCATTCTCTGCAAAGGCGCCTAGACTGCCTGTTTCTTTTTCAAAATCTGTTTCATTCTTGGTACTATCAAGCCTTTGTTCTGACACAATCCAAATGAATTTACTGGAACATCATTACCGTTTATAGCAGACATATGATTATAATTTGAAGACATTTTTTTAAAGACCGTTATGTTATTTATTGGATATTTTTTAATGTTTGGAGGTTCATTTGTTGATGTTGTTGTGTGTGTGGGTTTTTTTTTAAAGGGGGGTTTTGGGATGTTGGTTTTTTTTAGGGG